AGGGCGATGAGGAGGTGGGAGCTTGTGGATGTTCTTTTCCAATTGCTCCTTTTTCCCCAATGAAATAAGAAGCTGGATCACCAGCTGAGAGGGAGGATGGAAGATGGTTTAAGGAAAATGGGAGAAGTTTTGAAATTGTTGTCAAGGAGAGTGAATGGACTTGAGTATGTAGTCAGATTATAGGGTGGCATTAAGTAAGGCCTGCTCACTAGGGGCCTAAATTTAGGCTCAATAAGGGCCTAAAATTTGCAGTCATGAATTTAAAGGGTTAACAGGACAGCTTTATATTTTTCTTCAGCCATGCCTACTTGCATGGTATAGGGATGTGAAGGCAAGGAGTTGGATTTAACCAGGAATGTGATTCTGTGAGGCAAGTAGGAAAAAGGGAGAGAGAGTATCAGGAGAGCTGAGAGTATATGGAAGGGAGTGATGGATAATTATAGAAGTGAGGACATGAGATTGGTGATGGACAGTAAAAAGGTGGTAGGATCAACAGACTGTAGGTCCTAGTGACATTGGAAAATTGTTAGACTTGGATTTGAGGGGGAGTGAGTTGGATAGATGATAGGAGGTGGTGGTTGGAGAGTGGGGTGCATGATGAGTTTATGTAAAGGTCGCAAGTATTGGTAATGACAGCTATGGTTATGGGAATAGAGGGCTGAGGTAAGATGGAGACGAGATCTTAAGGGGAATGGGAATCAAGACATTGAGAGACCAGGTGATTGCTAAATATTGGAAACACAGGAATTTTGACAAAGGTGTGTTGGAAAGAAGTGACAGGGAGGCAGGGGAAAGTCTTCAAAGACTGAAGGAGAATATACGTGGAGAGGGTCCTTAATGAATGCAGCAAGAAGAGTAGTGAATGGTAGAGTCCAAGGACGTGAGATTCAAATCTGGGAAGTGGTTAGGAAGAACACAGAGAGAATGTTCTGGAAGAGAAAGCAATTTAGAAGCAGCAATGAGGGGCAGACAGGACCCCTCCTGGCCCAGTAGTACAAGGCAACATGAGAAGAACACCACCTACCTCTTGAGAGGGCTGTAGGAATAGCAGTGTTCTCAGAGAGGTACCAGGTTTTCGTTAAAGCAAGAAGGTGAAGGGACTACTCAGAGAAGAGTTTGAGAATATAGGGGATTTTGCTAATCATACTCAGTGGGTTCCAGAGGATGGAATGGAAGGATTTCAAGAATTAGGTGGTGGTGGGAGATGCGGTCAGTTTAGGAGATGTCGGAGCTATAGGGAGATTAGAGTTCAGGTGTTGGGCGGCGACCTGGGAGTCTTGGGCTTCTTATGATGACTGAAGTAACCAGAGGTGTAGGGCATAATGGGACTGGTGGTCTCCATGGCAGGGTATGGTGGTGTGGCTGTCAGGGTGGTGGGCCAGGAAGAAGGAAGTCGGGATCTTGTCACAGAGTCCATGTACCCAACATTTCTGGCATTCTGACTCTAGAGACCTGGAGAATTTTACTACTCTGCTCTTTTGATTCTAAAAAAGATGTTGACTTGGATATGAGAAGGAAGTTAATGACCTGTGTAGCTTTAGACGTTTTTATTGCTTTTGACTTCCAATTGCAGTGATGTAAGACTTTTTGTCTAAAGCCTCGGGAATCCACCAGCTGAGAAGGAACCAGGATATGTACATTAAAGTAGAGTTCCAGATGTGAGTTCTGTCAGGTAGAAATGAATTAGCCAAGTGGAACTTCTTCTAGGGGAAGTTTTATGGATAGTGTTTGTAAAATGGGCAAAAGGGGGTGGGGGAGTCTCCATGAGAAAAGTCTTGGGACTTGGTACAGATTCAGTGCTCAGTAAAGAAAACTGCCTTTTTTCTTCTCCATTGCTGAATGCCCTTTACTCTCATCCCTGCCCTGCTGCTGCTTCTTTGGATGTTATTTAACGTCTCCGTGCCTCAGTTTCCTTACCTGTCAAATGAGGATGATCATAGTCCCTGCTTCACAGGGAACTTGTCATAATTAAATGAGATAATTCATATAAAAGTATTTAACACAGTGTGTGTTACATAAGTACTTAACAAATATTATGTTTTCTTAAATGACCAGTGGTAGGTTCTTGCTCCGGTTCAGCTCCCTTCTTCCTGCCACTTGCGTGCATTTTCTTAGGTTGCCCCCCTTCTCTTTCATCTCCTTCCCTTCCTCTGTCTCTTTTCCCACCCTTTCTCCCTTGCCTATATCCTCTTTCTCCTCCCTGGCCCTGGCTGTCAGTGGTGGCTACACCTGGTTTAACACTCTCTGTGGCCTTCCAGGGCAGGGAAGTCTTGGAACAGGGGGTGAGGCAGCCCTCAGGGGAGGATGGGAAGCAGAGTGTGCCAGCTAAGACTGTAAACTCTAAAGCCAGACTGCCTGGGTTTGAATCCTGGCTCTGTCACCGAATGAGTCGTGTGCCCTTGAGTAAGCTACCTAACTTCTCCGTGCCTCCATTTCTCATCTCTAAAATGGAGATAATTGGAACAGTACAGCTGTTAAGCAGGATTAAATGAATTAGTAGTTAACAAAGTGCTTAACAGTTCCTGGCACACAATAAGTACTATACAAATGTTTGTTATATTAAAATTTTTTTTTTAATTTTACAACAATCTTATAACAGCATAATTACTTTAATTTTACTGGTGCCAAAACTGGGGTGGAGAGGTTAGGTGACTTGCCCGAGGCCACAGGGCTATTAAGTGGCAGAATCAAATCTAGAACATAGATTTGACAGCCTGCAAAGTCCTTGCTTGCAGCCGCAGTGCTAAACTGCCTCCCTGGACGTGCAGGTGGGGAGGGCTTTCTAGGAGGGCTGTGAGGGAGTGAGAAGCAAGTGGGCACTGTGAGTCCAGGGGCTTAAACAGTGGCTGGAGTCTGAGGGGTCAGCAGACGAGGTGCTGCTTGAGGACCTGGCTGGGACCAGCGGCTGTGGGCCCTTGGCCCTGTTCTCTGCTCCCTGCGGTGGGAGAGCAGCCTGGATTCCCAGGCCCGTTTTAGGGAGAAGTCAAGTCTCTTAGGTACCTGAAGATTCAGATTACAGCCAGAGAGCTGAGCCTTCCCGGGGCCTTTTCCTCCTCCTTGCTCGCTTTCCAGGTGACCACAGTCAAGTCAGTTAATCTTTTTGCACCTCAGTTTCCTCATCTGTCAAATGAGGATAATGATACTTTACCTGCCTGTCTCATGGGGTTTTTGAGAGGATTGAGTTGATCGTGGATGTGAAAACATTAGAAGAAGCATGAGGCAGTGTCCACAATTAAGATAGTGGGGTGATCCCAGACCATGTTACAGTGAGGGTCCAGTGTGGGCCTCTCAGGTCTCCAAAGCTGCCTCATGCTGGTGATGCCCGTTGTCAAACCCTATGACCTTTTTCAGCTATTCCAGCATGGTCTACAGAGATGCTTGGAACATCCTCTCTCTTTCTGGGGTTTTACATTTCCCTCTGTAAGCATAAAATCATCATCGAGCATCATCTGGACCCATGGGAAATTTTCTTTCTGTGTGGGTTTTTTATTGTCAAGAGCCACAGCCAGTGTCTCTGTCCAGGGTCCACAGTCGTCCCAGCTCCCATTCTGGGAGCTCTGCCATCTTTTGGTTTTAGCCCTTGGCACCAGGCTGGCTTGGGCTCTTGGGCCTGGGAAGCCCATAACTGCCTCCTCTCATTAGCACACAGTCTTGGTTCTGTGCCTGCCATGGTGGGAACAGGGAGGCAGCTGACCCTTCCCCTGGGTATCCTTGTCTCTCTGGGCTTCCCCTTGGGTGGGTAGGTGGGTGGGTGTGTGTGTGGGTGGGTGTGTGTGTGTGTGTGTGTGTGTGTGCGTGTGTGTGTGTGTGTGTGTGTGTGTGTGTTGAGGGCTCTGTAAGCCCCAGAGGCCAGGCCTCTTGCCAGCTGCTAAAGTTCTTTTTCCCTGGAATTGAGTTAGCTACCCAGCCGTTTCCATTCTCCACCTGCTGCCAAGCTCTACAGCACGGTCCCCTTGCCAGGTTGAAACCGCGCTCTGCTTTGGTAATCCAGAGCTTCCATTTTGAGAGAGATGGGAAACAGGACTGAATGAGTGGGCATGCTGGAGGGAGGAGGGAGGGCAGACTTTCTTTCTGGCAAGCTATGCCAGAATTGGCCCAGCTGTTTGGTCTTCACCCAAAAGTAGGGCTAACTCTGGACTGCCCCCAGATATCCAGTGGGTAAACTCTTTATTCTTGGATCTAGATCATACTAGACCTGGCAGTTAATTTTTTTCATCTGGAAAATGGGAATAATAAATCCTACCCCATATGTTCTTCATGTCAAATGAGAAATAAGCTTTTAAATAGTCCACCACCTACTCACCAGGATCAGGAAGTGACATAAGGTTGTATTTCTTTAAGTATATTCTGCAGAATACTACGTGTTCTTTTTTTTTTTTTTTTTTTTTTAAAGTTTTTTTTTTTTTTTTTTCCCCCCAAAGCCCCAGTAGATAGTTGTATGTCATAGCTGCACATCCTTCCAGTTGCTGTATGTGGGACGCAGCCCCAGCATGGCAGGAGAAGCGGTGGGCGCCGGGGATCCGAACCCGGGCTGACAGCAGCAGAGCGGGTGCACTTAACCGCTAAGCCATGGGGCCGGCCCTACGTGTTCTTTTTAAAAAGGCACTGACTAAATAAGTTTGGGAAACACTGGATAAACGATGTTAAGCAGGTTTCTTACTTGTAGAGACTACTCAGGTCCTTAATATACCGCTAATATACATGGTGAATCTCCAAGGGAATACATTGAATGCAACATGTCTTAGATTTTTAACCAAACTTTCTTAGTGGAGCATTTTTCAAGTACCATCTCTGCAAAATATGCTTTGGCTGCTGCCAGCCTAGTTCATAAGTATATTCATTTCATTATTTTTTCTCTAACTGTGAAGGGAGTTGAAGTGGTGAAATGCATGGGGTTGCTAAGCCATGGCCCTATAGAGCAAGGGCATCCAACTTCAGAATCAATAATCAATTGGAATGAGTGCTTCCTGTTCTGAAGCCCTCTCCCTCTGTCCTTACAGCTCCCCTTTGAATTGGAGATTTACTACATTCAGCATGTTATGCTCTACGTGGTGCCCATCTACCTGCTATGGAAAGGAGGTAAGGCCAGCAAACCACACCCCTGTGCCACCCCCACACCTAGCCGCTCCCTTCTGTTTTGGGGAGTCACAACGTCTTGGGCACCTACCAGGATCTTGAGCTGCTGCCTGGCTGGGTTTCTGCAGGATGCTTTATGCCAGACACCAGGCAGTGGGAAAATGGGTGTGGATGAGACCTGCAGAGTCTGGGGGCTTTTTGGAACCATCCTTTTTTTGGGTGAGCTTTGTGCCACTGACGGCCTGTCCTAGGGCCTAGGCATGGGGCTCTTTGTCTGTGCTGGCGTTGGTTTTACATGGAGCCCCCCACACTCTGTCACTCACTTGTGCTTGTGCCCTCCGCCTGCCTCAGTGTGCAGTATAGGGCGGAAGGAGAGGAGGAAGCATCAGCTCTCCCGAGAGGGACCTTGTGCTCTTGCTCATTGTATCCATCCTCTCAAAACCAAAGAAGATATTGAAAGGGGCAAGAATTCCAGAAACTGTGGGATTATGGGATTGAAGGACGAGGTGAGTGAAAGAGCAGTGACCTCCATGTAAAATAAACCATTGAAAGCCTTCATTTGGTCAGAGGGAGGCACCACCAACCTGGTAGGGACAGCCTAGAAAGGAAGCTGATCTATTGATGACCTCACAGTGACCCTTAAATGACCCCCTCCCTCTATTGTGTGGTAGACAAAAGAGGAGAGGAGTTCCTATCCCTTCTAGAAGAGTTGTTAGAGCCCTCCTCAGTGTTCTTACCTTCCTGAAACGCCCTCTACCTGGAAGACATCCTCTTCTAGTCTTAGCCACCAGCCTTTCTATCTTGGTTGCTGGGACTTTTCTGGGAGACCAACCCTCTCTAGCTCGCCCCAGGCAGCAAGGGTTTCATTTCTATTTCATTAAAAATAAGATGAGGGGGCCAGCCCGGTGGCCTAGTGGTTAGGTTCACACACTCTGCTTCAGTGGCCCAGGGTTCACAGGTTCAGATCCCAGGCACAGACCTACACACCGCTCATCAAGCCATGCTGTGGCAGCATCCCTCATACAAAATGGAGCAAGATTGGCACAGATGTTAGCTCAGGGACAGTCTTCCTCAAGCAAAAAGAGGAAGATTGGCAACAGATGTTAGCTCAGGACCAATCTTCCTCACCAAAAAAATAAATAAATAAATAAAAATAAATGAAAAATAAATATATAAATAAATAAATAATAAAAAATAAATGACATGAAGCCACAGGGGCCCTTGAGCTCACTGGAAGATGGCTTGGAAGTTGTGCTTCCTGTAACTCGGGAATTCTGGCACATTTTAAGAACTTCTGGCTTGAGATAGCCTCAAGGTCCAGTCAACCCGGGGACGTGTTGGAGGATGGGCATGGTTGCTCTCCATGGAGTCTTCTACCAGTCAAGAGATTTGCCCCCTGTCCCTGGTTTCTGTCAATTAGGACTCTTTTCTTAGGACTTGTCTAAATAATCTTTGAGGCTGTTTTTACCCTATGCAGCCACTTGGGGTCTCACACTGTCAAACGGTAGTTCCTTTTAATTTGCTCTAAATGCACTCTTTTCCCCACCGAGCTTTAAGGAAAGTCTGAAGTTCCGATATCCAGGAGACCTGTGCCATTTCTCAGGTCTCTTCCCTGTGGCACAGGAAACAGCTTCCTAATAATATTTAAGTCTTGGAGATAGATACACTCATTCTAAAGGGAACCAGGCAGGCAGCTATCCCAGGGCTCCAGACCCCCACCACTCATTGTTCCTGATTTCTGAGGGGTGCCATGCAAGTACTGGCCAAATGCGTGTGGCTGTTAGTTAAACCTATTTGTGCTCTGAGGTGCCTATAAAAATCTGTCAGGTAGCTCAGCCAGACTGGTCTGACGTGGAAAATACCAAGTAGCCATCCGCACCCCTGAAAGAAACCACCCTCTGGGAAGCCACGCCCTCCAGAAGTAGCTGATTCCACTGCGGCCTTCTACTGAATCTATTGCTGCACTGTTTGGGGGAACTGAGCTGAGGAAGTAGGGATTCCAAGTCTTAATTCCAATGTATGTCTTACTGTTAGTGATGCTTTCTTCTCTCCTCTGGTGCCTGGCCCTGATAAGAGACTCTAATAATAGTAACTAATAATAACCATGGTAAATATCAATGCTTACTTTTTATTGAGTGTTTCCTGTATGTGAGATACTGTACTAGGCATATTTTGTGTATTTTCTCATCACAACTAACTTGGTGAAAAATCCTCCTCCTCCAGAGGAGAAAAATCAAGGCTCAGAAACATTAGGTACCTTGCCACAGCCCGGATTCAAAGCCCGGCCTAGATTCCCTCCCAAATCAGCACGCTTTCCCACACACCATGTTGTCCTAAAAGACAGACGTCTGTCTCCTCCCCACAGTCTGGGAGTCTCTCCCCCACAGGCTCCACAATCCCCCACCCAGCCATGCACTCAACACGTCTTTGTTGAACACCTGCTGTGCTGAGCACTTGTACTAGGGAATCAGAGACAAACCAGACAGGCACAGTCCTTCCTTCCCCAGGGTGTCTCCGTCCATGGGGAAGGTAGACAATTGTAATACAGCGTGATCAGCGCGATGGAGGGTACTGTGGGAGCACGGTATGATGTCCAGAGCCTTGCTCCCCTTCCCTTCTTCACGATTTTTGGGCTCTTTTGTGGTCTTGGCTTTCTTTCCAGCTCTTTGCTACCATCTGCTGTTCACTTGGGGGAAATTGTGAGCATTTAGAGAAAAATCTGGATAAACTAAGGCTGGATTCACCTTTGTTTGGAGCCTTGGACCTAGGCCTCGCAGAGGCGGAATGGATCGGGAGTGAGCAGTGAGAAGATTCTTCCCTATAAACCAAAAAAGCTGAGGGTTTGAGCTTCTCTTCCCTGGAAGTGTCTTGTAATTTTCCAGAAATAACTGGCTCGTGAGTTTTTACACAAAGCAAGACAGCTTTCCTGTAGATAACCTCCACTGCCCAGAAGCCCTGTTTTCCTGGAAGGCAAGGTCCTGCTTCTTCCTGTGGCTAGGGGGTGGCTGGAGGTGCTTAACAGGAATCCCATTCCTCCCTCATTCCTGCTGTCCCTCAGCACCACCGTAGTAAACTTGACCTCCGTCGTCCACACTGCTCTTTTCTTCTTCCAGCTGCCTCTTTATTTCTCTGTTTCCTTTCCTCCCAACTCTTTGCCTTTGGCCTTCTGGAACTATATTTTTATATTCCCCACCCCACAACCAGTTCTTTACAGAACACAAAGTCTTCCTATCTTTTGCCTGAAGCTCCCTCTAACGGAGGCTGCTCTTTTGGCGCGGCCCCATATGCTGCCCGGCTCCCCACTGTCTCTTCCAGACCAATATTTCATCTCTACCTTATGTGAAAATGCTTTCTCCTTTATCATTCACTTGACATCTTTTTTTCATCACCACCACCACCACCTAACCTCTTAGAGGTCACTTTCCCCACGTTCCTAGATGTCTTTGGCCGTGGCTCTCAATATTTCCGATGTCTTTGGCCGTGGCTCTCAATATTTCCATTACAACTCTAGCCAGCATCCTGAGACTTCCAGTGAGGATGGCTCATCCCACCCCAGCTTCTCAAGGGTTTGGGCTTCTTAACTGCAGTGACTTCTGCCTCCCCTTCTCTTCAGCCACCTGGACTTTGCCTTCCCCTTTCCCCTAAAACTCCTCTATCTGAGATCATAAACCTCTGTGTCCCTTTCTTTGACCCAAATCTCCACTCCTTTCAGCCTCCTCTTTTTTCCAATCAGCTTGTACCACCATGACCAATTACTGAAACTTTCCTTTCACCAGCTCCTGAAAGTGCCTCACTCCCTTGTCCCTTCTACCAGGATTGGTAGCCAATCCCAGTGCTCAGTCTTGGCCTCTTGGAGAAAATCTCTTAAGTCATTCAGATTTGGGCCACTAAAATTTCATAGTCTCTATTACAGTTGTGTTCTCAACACCAGTGCTCAATTATTTTCTGTCTTTGATCAGCTCTTCCACACATTGCCCTGAGGAGTCATGTACTAGACCTTTACCACCCTCCTCAAACTTCCTGTCCTCCCCATTGTCAATAGATGTTCCCCCGACAAATGGCTGAGAAGATGGAGATTTCCAGGTGGGAATTCCCTTAATTACTCCTCTCCACTCTAAAAGCTTCCTTACCCACACCCATCCTTACTTTCCTCTCCCTCCCATCTTGGAGGAAGTGGTATTCCTTCTGAATGTGGCCAGTCATACCCTGATGTGGTTACCTCCCATCCCTTCTACCTCTTCTGGAATCTCATGCTATCAGATAGTCACTTGTTTACCTGGATTTTCAACCCTTTCTTCACTATCGGGTTTTTAGCCAATAAGAATGCTGAAGTCTTCCCATTCTAAAAAACTTTCTGTCACCCCCACACAACTCTCTTTCCTCTCCCCTTCACAGCAATATTTCCTAAACCTCACTTCTTTAGGCATGACAAGTTTTGCCTTAGCTATGTAACCACCTATATTATTATGTATGTCCTTAAATCTATTGATTTTTTTCTAAAATATATTTGTTTTTAAGAGAAACTTTGTACTGTCAATGAAATCCTGGATTCAGTGCACTGGTTATCTGTTTTAATGCACTTTAAATATATAGCTATTGGGGGCCGGCCCCATGGCTTAGCGGTTAAGTGTGCGCGCTCTGCTACTGGCGGCCCGGGTTCGGATCCCGGGCGCGCACCGACGCGCCGCTTGTCCGGCCATGCTGAGGCCGCGTCCCACATACAGCAACTAGAAGGATGTGCAACTATGACATACAACTATCTACTGGGGCTTTGGGGAGAAAAAGGGGAAAAAAAGGAGGAGGATTAGCAACAGATGTTACCTCAGGGCCGATCTTCCTCAGCAAAAAGTGGATTGGCATGGATGTCAGCTCAGGGCTGATCTTCCTCACAAAAAATAAATAAATAAATATATATATAGCTATTAAAAATGAAATGTTTATCTGTTTACCACCTGAAATCACCTCCTGAACAAGATATAACTTTTGGTGACACTTGTCTGCAT